AACCTTAGCATCTGCAGAAGGCAGCCCGTCATGTTTTCTAACAAACAGTTTTGGGCTTTCTGCTAAATTTATGATAGCCAGAAAAGCAGATTTTTCAGTTCCCATTTTTCTTCCAAGTCACTCTTCTTTCCTTGCATGAATTCAATGAATGGGAAAAACTGCCCATCTCATACTGATGGCCAGGAGTAGTATTTATAGAGATTAGAAATTATCTAAACAACAGTGATGAGGATCTGACTGAAGAGTAAAAAAAGAAAGACAACAAGTAATCATCTCAGCAGTCCAGTAGTCTGCATTCAGTTTACACTGTGAAATCCTTTACGAGAGGGAGAAAGAATAGGTGGTGTGCAGATGGATCAGAATTGGACTGTTCAGAGCGCTAATGAAGAAATAAAGATGCAATGTCACTATCTACAGCTTCCCATCTCCATGCTATTAGTGCTACCGAAGAGACCAGGATGCTACATAAGAGCAATGAGAGAAGAAGGTGTAGAGAGATGTTTCCTTTCTGACACCGACTGTGGATTAGGGGAAGGATACAGGGTGTCCAGATCGATGTGGGCTTTACCCAGTCAATAAAGCCTGGTATCCAAAGCACCTGACAGGTTTTGAAGACTCACTGTGGACATGTGATCATTAAAAGAAGTTATGTCATTACAAAGTAATATAATTAATAAGGTTCTTATGCTGTGCAGACTCGGAATGGGCGGGGTGAAGAAGTGGAAAGAATAAATTAGTCAGGTGTGTTACAAAAGTATCCCAACAGCAACAGGACAAGGTCTCATGATGCTATGAATAACATGATTTAATAGAATAAGTGGAAGAAGCAGAGACAGAAGGCAAGACTTGTCAGGGTCATAGCTAACTCTAGAATCGGAAGCAAAACTGAGTCTATTACTAGCTCACTTCCCTGAAAGAGGCTTGTATAACCACACCAAAGTTTCAAAGCTTATGGGTAGGCTGTTCCTCTACGCGTCGCCTGAGGCTTGCAATGATGCTAGGGGATTACTACTTTGCAGCTTCACTGACACATAGTTTTACGCTGAAGTAAGGGCAAGTTTTTTGTTCTGCAAGATCTCAGTTCTGAGAATGAAGGTAAAAGACCTCCTTTTCCTGTCTTATACTTTTAATCAAGGTAATGAGATGGCAATATAACTTACACTTGCAAGGTATGCTAAGTAAAGTGGCTACCTAGTGACCTACCTACCTAAAAGCTCAGTTTTAAACTAAGCTTCCTAAAAGTTAAGAAACGCTTGATTCAGGTCACATCAAATTTTGCTTTAAAAGCTTATGTGAGGAATCACATTATGGTCAAACATGTTTCAAGCTAAAATATTTATCAAAGAAGATTAAAATGCTTAGCTAATGTGTACATTACATGCATTAATGTGGGACAAAGTAATCAGCTAACATTTACAGTGAGTTTAAGTATGAATGTCTTACAGACACATGCCCTTACTTAAGTGATGAGTGTATTTTTTGTATACATGTATTAAGTCCTATTTTTTTTTGCAGACCGTCTGCTATAGATACAGAAATGGCTGCCAAGAAAAAATGTTAATAAATTAATAAACAAGTTTTGGTTCTAGTGTGGGGGGGAAAGACTTATAAGCTGAATAAGCTTATAAGCTGAATAAGGGGGGCAGTAAAACACGGCTGAATTTATAGTGCAATGTGCTGAGAGGAACGCTCACGATCAGGCCATGGCTCAATGACCACTCTCATTCAACATGGTGCCACCACACTTCCACCAAAACAGGGGGACTTGCTCTCCTCTCTTTTCCCTTAGCTGCTCATTCCTAATACCTCAGCTGTGGTAGCACAAGCAATTATGCAAGCTTTGATTTGGCAAAAAATTGGCCAGATTTGTGTATCTGATCAGCTTATTCTATGGTGGCTACACAGGGTTACCATGTGTAACTGTGGCATTGATTACAAGTGCTAAATCATTTATGAAACCCACTTAAAGTCCTATCCACGTATATATTTGCATTATTCTGTATTCAGATGAGGAGAGCCTTTGTGACTGGACCCTTCAGCTTTGCAGGTGGGGACTAAATGGTTCACTTCTTGGTAAGTCTTCGCACTCACTTCACAAAACTGAGTTACAGAGCCTGAAACGTCCTCTCTGTCCCGGGCTGCCTGAAAAACGCCACAAATCCCACTAGTGCTACAGCAACCAGAGAGCGAGTACTATGAAGCAAGCACAGGTATTGCTTAGCCTAGAGGTGCTAAATGCCACAGTAGTAAAAATGCCAGCTGTCACATGAGGAAAGGGATCCACCTCTCCTGCCGTTGCGGCACAACAGCAAGGAAAAATCAGCAATGGAGATGCAGCGGTAAAGGTAGGGCTCTCTGATCATATGCAGCCTCAGTTTTACCAACTGGGAGAAAAAGCAATGAAAGCAATGTGTATGGTACTCAGTGGACTTCAAAAATCTTTTTTTTTTCCTTTCTGTTTGAATCTGACCAACAATCATGTTGGTCATGACAGCAGCAGAGTTACTGTTCAGTCCTTGCATGTAAATTGGATGTATGAATCTGTTCAACCAGAGAATTAATGAGTGTAACAGGAGGCCTTCTCTTTCCCCATCGCTTACTGTTCGTTGCTCCTTTAGTATGTGTTGCCCAAAGAAGACTACGAGTAATACAAGTGTGTAAACCTGTAAAGAATAAGAAATCCATCTGCTATAGAAAACCATAGTTAAAAGCTAACCAAGAGCAATAAAATAAAAATATCACAGGCAGGAAGTAGTGAAAAGCCCGAGAGTCTCAGTGGAAACCTTTACAGAGATAAGTAATGTAAATAACCTTGATCTGAGAAAATCAGACGTAAGCATTTTGTAAGTAAAAGTAATATGATGACTCATGAATATGTTGGAAGAAGCAAGAAAAATGCAGTAATTATATTCTGATACAACGCTGACCAAATTGTTTCTGTATTCCACCAAGGCCTGTCAAATGCATAAGCTCTTTGTTTTTTGGGTTTTTTTTAGAGAGGTGTCATCCAACTGATACGCACAGTAATGTTGAACCCATTTGCTGTTTTTGCAATGAAGGCAAAATGGATATCAGTGATTCACATTCTTGGCATTTTACAAGGCCACCCTTGTAAATCTGAATACAATGCTCTATGGCTCTGGCATCTTGAGGTTGGCTTTGTCGCAATACATCCGTATTAGAGCTACGAGGGAAATCCAGCAGCTGAAAACGCAGCAGCATATATACATTGGGCTGTTTCTGGAGGCAGTCATACCTGTGCCCCCATCTTCTGTACTTTGATCTCGTCAGAAGCTCAGCTGAGGCACTGAATTCAGCACATACCCAGACATCCCAGCTTTGGTCTCCAAGTACATGACAGTCCCAGTACGAGGGTATGTGACAGCAGATTCCAGCAGGCAACAGTTTGAACTTTAACCTGCTTGGACAAGGTGGTTCTCGTTACTTCGGAGGCCATCACAGTACAGGGCTCAGCTGGAAGACGCTTACCAGGAGCCCTTGATTTAAATAGCAGGGTGAGAACCAGTTCAATGACCTTCTTCAGCTCTAGACTTTTGGATGTGCTAAATATGTTGATGCTTGTGCATCTTTCAGTGACAATCCTTCCTCAGGTTCTTGTCAAGCTGAGAAGGGCGAGTGTGCAGCAGGTTGTAGGGTACGTTCACTCCCGGCTGGTGCACCACTCGTTTTAATGACTCGTTAGGGACCAAGAAGCCGCCGGAGCTGATCGCAGGACCGGGACCGTTATTTGGGCTGGCGGGGGACAACTTCAGCTGAGGGCACCTGTGAGATTTCATTTGTCTTTTAGTAACTGGGGCTTTCAGAATGAGGAGTTTGTGTAAACTCTGTGATGTCATACATCTCGTACAACAAAAGCTGATTTAGATGGCTTTTAAAATACCGTTGTTACGGGAGGGGAAACAAAAACAACCCCCAAAACCCCAAACGCTGGTCTTTTCCAGTAATTTTGGCCTCTCTCGCGGCTCGTAGGGAAGCCCTCAGGGCGCCCGCCCTGCCGC